TCCAAAAAAGTTAAATTTGTTTTTTTTTTTTTTTTTTTTTTTTTCTTCAAAATTTAACCATAGTTATCAATTAAATTTGTTTCGAATTGAAAATATTTTTAACTCCTGTAATATTAGATTGTACTTTAAAGCACGATCGATCAATAGTAATTATACTTTGTAAGTAACTCGCGATATTTATAAACAGAGCTGATAAATTGCGAACAATTATAATGTTGTTGACCGACTGTTTATAACGGCAACCACTCCATTTTATCTCTAATTAAAGTGAATTCGCTTCAAGTATCGAAAGCCAAGTAAGCAACTATCATACTGGAGACAATTACCTATAGTAAAAAATAAATAAAAAAATTAATTGGGAAAAACTCAAAAGCGTGTTATTAACTAATTTATTATAATAAATTCATTACCATACCAAATCTCACTTTCTCCCTGTAGAATGTATTACTATGCGGTTGTATATATTGAACAAAATTGTTAAAATTAGGAGATGTTCATACAACATTTTAAAAACTAACGTGCTACTAATTTCTAATCGTATGTTTTATGTTTAATGACAAATTAATCATTAATCATTTGCTTCTCATCTTCGTCGACTGGTGTGGTGGTTAAGTGTCTGTCACAAGTCGCGAAGCGCGTAAAATACTCCATGCAAACAGTGTAAAAACTGCTATCTCCCTCTCTATCTCTCTCTCTCTCTCTCTCTTTTCTCTCTCTTTTCTCTCTCTTTTCACTCTCTATCTCTCTCTCTCTCTCTGAGTCTGTCAGTATGCGGGGCTGCCTGTCTGGGAAAGACAGGCACACTGGGGTGGCGTGGCGTCGCGTGGGATGATAATATGGGGAGTGCAAGACAGAGGGGAGAGGTGGGGTGGGGGGTTGTTAACTGATACGAATTGGGAGGATCTTAGATGGTTGGGCAACTGCTCGGTGGAGAGCAGCTCCTCGAGTACTCACCCTCTTGCGGAAGAGCTCCCCGGATTGACGTGAACCCATGCCGCGCTGCAGTTGCCTGAGCGTCGGCGGGTTGCCGTCGCGTTCCGAGTCCCTGCCAATTGGACTTGACATTCCTCGGTCGCCTGTAACATGGATACACTGCGTGAGGTCGCGTTTGTTATAATTCCGCCGCACTTTCGCCAATATTATCCGCGGCGCTAAAAGATTTTTAAAAATCGCACGGACCCTTGTCCGGAATTTTACAATTGAACGGCTCGGCGCCGACACATCGTCGATAAATAGCGGAATGTCGTTGCTTTGCCAATGATGGATATGTGGGTCAAATGGTTTAAACGATACTTTTCTCTTTCATTCCGAGGCTCGATCCTCGCTAATTGCCAGCTAACGATAAGGATCTGTATGGAAGCTCGCGATAGACGCGTTGCTTCTCCAAATTCCTTGTATTGGGTTACGGGAAAGCGTCGTTTCATTTGGTAAACGAGGTACGCGTGATCGAAGATCAACGTGAAATTATTATGAACTCGACATTTCCACGACATATCGATATTCGTTTAAGACTCCAATGCGAGGCGACAGCATCTCGAACACTTTCGCATCCCGGTTTCTCGAGTTGTTACTCACGTACCTTCGACTGGTATTTTCACCTTTTTGCACAATCTTTCGGAAAGAAACTTTCATTTCCAATCGCTCACTACACTTTTGGCTTGGAAAGCATTTTCACATAATTCGATGGTATCTAATGTGAATTAGTCGATGGATAAAACTCTATGTGACTCTGATACTTCAATCGGATATTTTCCACTTTCTGCTTATCGGGTGATTTTAGATATTATCGAAAGCATATATAATAGTCTTAATAATCATTGACACTTATAATTATCGTAGCCAGCATATTATTGTCATTAAAAACTTTATCTCAATGTCAATACTTATAATTGACATTACATTAATATTGCTGGAATATAACGAACGAATTTTGCACTTTAAAGTACATTGCAATTCTCTTTATCCATTGTATATGTATTAGAAAGCAACGACAATGTGTTTGTGCGTTTGTGTGCACGGGGGGAGGGGGGAGGGGTATTTATTTGTCAATTAATCATAAATATGGATCAACCTTAAATTGAATAGAATGACAATCAGAAGATCATGCCTCGTAAGCTTTAATGTAATCCATTAGCTATTGATAAATAATCTCAAGGTTCTTGATAAAAAGCACAGAGAAAAAGCTAAAAAACAAAAAAAAACAAAAAACAAAAAACAAAACACAAAAAACGAAATATAAAAGGGAAAAAAGGAGAAAAAAGAGATGTTGGTAACATGTAGTCGGGCAAGTTATTGGCCCAAGATAAAGCTTATCCAAGCACGGTAGGGAGAAACTTGCTTTCACCGAGAAATCAAAAGTTTACAAGACAAAATCCTCCGGTTTATTACTGCGAGCGCCATAAACCAAATAAGCTCCCGTTTACGTTTAACAGCCGCGCCCAATTGCAACGGGGACAAGCTCGCTTGCATTATAGAAGAGCCTGGAAAACTTCCTCGTCTAACCCCGTTTACTCGGATGACAGCCGCTACTTTGGCCGTGGTGCTTTGTTACCACCGATGCATCATCCCTTGCAGCCACCAACGCTCACTACTCCTCTAATTGTTTCTAAGTGGCGTGCGCATACTGCACTTGATATCCACCGGTTGATAAATGCCTGGGACGAGCTTCGTATCAGCTTCAACGCGCGACTAACAAAGCTCCGTTGTTCCAATGTTTTTGGGGATGGGGAGGGGGCGGATCTTTATCTTCACGGGCAGACGTCACATTGGACCCTCGCCCATCATTGAACCTCCTCGTTCTATGTTCTATGTTCTATGTTCTATGTTCTATGTTCTATGTTCTATGTTCTATACTCTATGTTCTGTGAATACAGGCAGAGATTTCTTCATTTGACTTTGAGGGTTAGCAGGGCGCCCGTAAGCTTGAGCTTATCGCGGATAAAAGCAGGAGAAATTTCATAGAGCTGACGCAACTAAAATTGATTGGCCGCCATTTTTAAGCAAACCAGATAAGTAAACTTCACTATGATTTACATCCTTGCGAGGCAATCGGGTTATTTCGTTGATTTTCTTCTCTGTGAATATTAAATCATAAGTGCCAAATAAAAGTCCACGTCGCCGATAAGACGATACTTTAAGAGCTTTCACAACGTTCTCGGGATATTTTTATCACAACAATATAAGCATTATTGAGAAAAATATAATAACAAGAATCATATATATGAGATAAAAAGTACATTTTGATGGATAATTATTCGCAAAATTAAAATTGCCATACCAATGAAACTGCATTGTACTAAAAAACGTATCGACGACTATATATAATATTTTTAATATACTAATAATTATTATTATACTAATTGTTTGTGTTACTTTGACTGGTTTACAAGATTAGGAAGCCCTTTTATAAAAATAAATATCCTTTTATGAATTTTTAGTTTATTATGACAAAATGAATATCAAACACAATAAAGTATTAGACAAATAACATGAAATTAAGTGAAAGCAATTTTGTCATTGCAAATCTTTTGGTATCTAAATTAGTATCTAAAAAAAATGCTTATGATAACATTTTTATTTCACTCCTTCACGATCGAACACTTATTATAAAGAATTTTTTTATTTTTAATGTATGGCATAAATACATTTTTTTAAATGTCAATAAACAGTTTTGCTTAAACAAAGATGTACCTTAACTTTTTTCTATCTTTTCATTTGGACAGTTTCCAATAAAATTACAATAATTAAGTTATTGCATTATCTTAGATCGAATACGACAAGAGTAACATTATATAACGTTTTATCCATCTTTGTGCGTTCTCACATACACAAAAATTGTATATTACGTAACAAAAAAAAAAAAAAAAAAAAAAAAAAAAAAAACAACATCATCATCCAAAATAAGAATAAGAAGATGAAGAAGAAAAAGAAAAATATATGAATAATATTTCACGAAACTCTTTAACAAATATTGTATTGCACGAATACAATGAAAAACCTTTGCAATCATTTTCTTTTATTACATAGAGAGAAAAGTAAATTGAAGAGTAAAATCAAATTTTTCTCACAGAATATCGTTAGATTAATTTCTATAGAAAAGCCTTTCAATAAAAATATCTTAAAATTTAATTGCCTGTTTGATCTGTTGAATAGCTGAATTCAATATATTAATCTTTATATTTCTTATATCCTAGGCAATCAACGATTTAAAAAAAAAAACGCAATTAATATTGAAGTGATAAATAATAACACCTACGGAGAATCATCTCTTATGCTTTATCAGCCACTCGGTAGTTATGCGTGCCAAATCAATCATTTAATAATAAATGAAAGTTGTAGCAAGTCGGTTAAACTCCTCTATCTTAATTGAAACACAAAGGTCTTTGTGCGAAGTGCGTTCTCGATAATATCACGCCAACAATAATTCGCTTGTGTTGTGCTATTTATGTTAAGCAATTTAAGGAGGGATTCGCCAATTGACATTGAATGTGCTAGTGGGCCTCGCGCGCTACTCTAGCCCACGAATTTCAATTTTTCATTTTTCATTTTTAATTACGTACGAGTGCACACTTACTTTGGCTATGGGTATGTCTCTCGCTATCGCTCGGACTCGAGATACGATGGTCGATCGGCGAAATGACTCTCAAGTGGTTGATGGGGCTGACGAGACGCTGGCCAGAGCATGGCGATGCTATTCTGGGATCCCTTGTGTCGCTGCTGCTCAACCTATTGTCGGCAAGAAGAAAAAAATCTTAAGTACCCGAGAATTTTAAGTTAAAGGGTAAATGCTAATGCGCGGCCGATAAAATGCTTAATCGCGCAGTTTGCCCGAGATCTTTCAGAGCTTCTGCTTATTTTCACCTTCTGTTTGCGCCACGACTTAATCAGCAATCCAGTCATTAATATCTTATTAGCGCCGTATTATTCGTCTTTGAATAAATCTGAATTCTTCGTTACGTCTGTTGCTTGCAACGTTTTTTTCTTCTTCTTTTTTTCTTTTAGCCTCAATTATTAGTAAAATTAGCCCACGATTATACGATTTTAATAAAGCGGGACTTTAAATGAACTTTACTTTATCCATTTTATATTTCTTGCTTTTGTATTTTTGTTTCCTATTTTTATAGAATATTATTTATTAGAGATTCAATTCGGAAGGAGACAACTCGACAATTTTATTTATCAAATTTAATTAATATTTGTCATTAACAATGCAAAATCCTGCGCAATAAATTTTCGTATTCTTTGAGCTGAATTGTAGAAGATGAAGAAGAAGAAGAAGAAGAAGAAGAAGAAGAAGAAGAAGAAGAAGAAGAAGATGTAAAAGAAGAAGAAGAAGAAAATGTAGCGATGATTACACAAGCCAATTCAAGATGAAACTTTCAGTAATTAGTGCATTTCCATTTAAACTTCGTTAATTGTATGGCCACGACTATGCATTGCCATATATTTTTCAATAGGGCCGCATTGTTGTTAAAAAGACTATTTAGGCGAATTTAAACGATGTAAATAAAGTAGGAAAATTGAATATGATAGGAGGGGAGAATAATTATTGGAGACCCCGGAGAGGCAGAGCTTCGCGCGGCCCAATGTCCCGTGACAATCGAATCTCGTTCGCGTGGGCGTTAAAATTTTCCGCAATCTAGATGTGTATTATTATCGACGCCGTAGAGATGAACGGGAATTCCCGAAGGTTCGCGGTCTGACCTTTTGTCGCGAAACCCTGTGTATTAATGTGTGTATCATGGAGAGCTTCGACTTTTAGCTTACAATTATAATCGCGAGTTATGAATGAGCTAGTGATAGTTTAGGTTTTATCTCATGTACGAACGATAAGAATAAATTTCCAATGTTTTTCAGAAGAATTTTACCAAGAAACCTCCCCCACCCCCTAACCCCGTTCTTACACGCGTGTCTTCCATGGACATTTCAAAAATCTATCGCACATTATTCTATATCATGGCTTGCTGTTTCAGAGAAGGAGAAATACAAATTACGCGCCCTTATTTCATTAAATGTTTGAAATTACTTTGAACCGTTTAGCTTAATCGAGTATCGCTATCGCTACGTAACGTCAATCTTCATACAATACCTTTGAGTTATCGAGGCAGTATTTTAGGAAAATAATTTCGATTTATAACAAAGCTATCTAATACAATCAATATTTTGACTATTATAATCAATTTCATTATGTAAAAGGTACTCCGAGCAATTTTCGGGCGAACGTTATCCCTTTACATCGAGGTTGAATAAAAAACTTACTCGGACGTAAATTAATGAACAACGAGATTAGCGAGACTCACATTCTGACGTCACCGCTGCTGGCAGCCCGGAGGATGTGCGTGGCATAGTCGAGCTCGTGGTCCTGGCCAATCATCGTCATCATGGAGCCGGACTGCGAACTCGGCTGCTGGTGGACCGGTAGATTTTGCTGCCGATGGTAATTGGAGGGGACCGAGGCCCCGACGCCGTTGGAACGCGGAAGCGTCATTACCTGCTGGACCCCGTTACTCGTCAACACCGGCGATTCCTGTTGCTGATGCTGCTGTTGCTGTTGCTGACGCTGACCCGCCAATTGCGAGCTACTCACTGCTCGCGGTGGAAGCGGATCTCTACCGATTACCGAGCCAGAACCGGAAGCTGTTAAGAGAAAGCGATCGGGTTAGGTTTCGCGAGGTGCTCATTCATCTAGGGGATTAATGACTTTGGCTCTTTCTCCGACACCCTTAATCATTTCTTCCCATCCCTCAACCGACGATGTTTACTTTTTTGCTTTTCAGCATTTAGCAATCGCATACTGACACCTTGGTCAGTTTCGGTATGCCTATTGTCATTTTATTTGATTATTGTAAATGCAAAATCGACTTTCACTTACAATATGGTGTTTGGTGTAAATTTTACGAATGGCAAGTTATTATTACAAGTATTATAAGGTTCAATTCTCTTTTTTCTTTTTTATTTAATTTCGTCAGTCGTATCAATGCGATATTACAATTTAAAAATTTTCATACACTTTATATTGGTACTATAACGTGACATACTCTTAACACAAAACCAATAGACATCGTTAAAAATATGTTTTATGGCTATCAAGTGGAGGGGAAAGTTGCCAATTCACGATTAACAAAGTATATAAATTAATGTAAAATTTCTAACTAAATTTATGAATAATTATTTTCCTAATTATAAACTATTTTAATAAAGCAATGTTCTATTCAATGGAAAATTCACCAAAGTATAAGAATGAAACATAATATAAACATTTTATCATCGAACGGTACGTTATATATATATATATATATATAACAATGCGGAATAATAAAAAAAATATATATAGATATCAAAATCATAAAAAATTCTATAATTATAGAAATTATTTCTTTATTTTGATGTAAATAGATTATTGATTTAATAATACGAAGCTGTATAGTTCACGATCAAAAATATAAATATCGACATTTAATCAAATAAAACTATTGATAAAATTCGAAAATAAATAAATTTCTAAGCATAGCTTCAAATTATGACGCTGTAAGTTTTTTGTTACTTTGAGGATCAAAATTTATAGCAATAAACAGTTAGGATTACTGGTATATTTAAAAATATCTGAATATCGAATTACATGCATTATAGTGCATCCATGCGGAACAACAAATAGCGAAGGAATGGACAAAAATAAATAAATCACTTCTATTATAATAAAATCGTTGAAAATTCTTACAACATTTTCATGCATGAAATACGTTAGAAACTAAAAAAAAAAAAAAAAAAAAAAAAAAAAAAAGGAAAAAAAAAATTAAATGTTTACATTAACTGTGTCGTGTTGTATTTTTAGCAGTTAATTAATTCTATTACACCACTGACACCAATTGTTTCCTCTTCAAATATCTATTATTAAAAATTATGAAACATAAATTTGTTGTTTATAAATACTTTTATATGCGCATTACCATAAGCTAGATTAATTAATCATATTGTGCTGGAAAAAATTCTCACGTTGTACAGTATATTTATCATTTTCTAACATGAATTTTATCTTCTTCTTCTTCTTCTTCTTCTTCTTCTTCTTCTTCTTCTGTTTTTGAACAGAAAATTTTTGCTGCATTTTAAAGGCACATAAATTAATATTCATAAGTTAGAGTATAATTTAAAAATATGCTTTTTCAAAACGCCTTTCGTAGGCGAAATACTTTTAGTATTACGGAATATAACCTCATTTATTCCACTGACGTTCCTGAAATTCCCTCAGCAATTTTAAGAAAAATTTGAACAAGAGTGTTAAAATATGATAATTTCAGGAAACGAAAAAGCGCGCATCGTTTACAATTTTATTTTCAACATAAAGATGTACCATTGTACTGTGCCACTAACAGATCTAACAATGAATCCGTTTCTCGAAGAAAAACACAATTAACGTTGCTCCTAGCGCTTCATGAAGATAGCCGAGAACAAGCACTGTTCCATGCGGGAAGTACGGACGACGAATGACGGATTATCGCACAATTCGCAAATCAATCGCGCTTACTCTCATTTCGAAAAGCTCCGACTCCTCTGGCCCCCACTACCCAAGCCAAAGGCGTTCAAATATTTTCGCTTTCGCGATAAAGATAATAGCGTGAAGAGTGAGGAGTGGCTTGGTGGGTGATGGGGGTGGAGGGGCGGGATATATACGCGGGGTTGCATATACGCGCCGAGCTCATGCATTTTAAATAAAATCTGCTGATAGGATGTCGTCCTGCGGATGTGCCAACTCCTCCGCGGTAATTTATTACACTAGGGTGCAACGTTCGCTTGTTCCTCCACTATCGCGTTTACACTTGATTCTCCAGAGTTTCATTCTTAATTGAATACTTAAGAATACTTGAGCGCAACGTGGCTTACCAATACTATTATACTTGAGAATATTAATCGCCGCTTGTAATTGCCATTCGCCGATTCAACATTAAAAACTCCTATTTCCCGCTCGATATTATTTATTCCCAAATGCTAGACATCTTTGTTTAAGCGAATATAAAAGGGAAAACTCGGCGCGCGCATCTGGTTTACCTTCGCACACAAGCATTGCGAAATATGTTAAAAAATTTAAGTCATTGCGGAAAACAGCTTCTGCGATAATTGCTTGGTAATTTGCTGGCGCGATACTTCTCGTGAAACTGCCACTTTAATTAGCGCCAAGTTTTGCAAACTATTACTAGGTATTTCGACAATGTCCCGTCTCTCTTTTCGATGAACGAATAAATCTAAAGGGCCGGACTAAAAGAATGAGCGGACGACGCGTAAGAAAGGAAGTCTCGGGAAAGGAGGAAGAGGCAATTTTGGGACTAAGATAATTGTAATATATGATAAACGATATTTGACTAATATGAATTAGCAGCACCGTGTCACGTTAGGGCCTGGCCTTAATAACCATCAAGGTCCACACAAACACAAATTATCGCGTGTTCCGAGGACTTGTAACATACTCGCCGGAGATAAGGAAAAAATGGACGGTCTGAGGGAATTGGCTCACGCGGAAAAAGGGTGAAATTCACGGAAGGCGGACGTCGTTCACGATGACAATCGCAAACGCAACATTCGAAGCGCTCTAACGACGCGCAAATAACCTCGGCCATTAATGAAAATACGCGCATCTTCGTTCGCGGGATCGCGCGCTTCCGCCAAGCGCATAAACAAAACGATTAAAAGGCGGTCGAGCGGAAGCACATCGTCGGCATTTGTTTTACATTCGACATATTCGCGAATGCGGAAGCCACGGCATTTACGCCTCGTCGATCCCGCGAGTTTCGAAGAATTCAATCGGACAACAGCGAGGGCTTTTTTTATCTTCCGCCTCGTGCGTCACGAAAGCCTTGCGAGCGCTCTTTTATGACGGGTTGGTTAAGCTTATAAAAGTTGACTGGTCCTCGTAGCAATCGGAACAATCCTCGAGATATCGAGATTCGTACGTGCTGGATGCTGTTAATACTACGGATGGCGATATTCGAATTAAGCTTTAACGTATGAAAATGACTAAATATGCGATTTGTGCGGTCTTGTAAATAATCGCATAGAAACGAATGTTCTTTTCGGTGCTTATTTTTCTTTTGTTTTTGTTTTAATACTGTTGGATACTTTTGGATCGATGGGCTGGAAATCTTCTAAAGAGGGATAAAATTCTTTGGGTATTAGTCTCTCGTATTTAGAATAATTTATTTTGAAAATATGAAAACCGCAGGACTCGGGTACGACATAAATTTCAAAATTCTTATCATGCTTTCTCAAGTTGTAAAATTTTTATTGCCGAACTTTATAATTAAATTAAGCTTCCGTGTTTCTTTTCAGCAAGTACTTGCTCTAACTTCCAAGTCAAAATGATTTTTAAATATTTTCAAATATGTTGCTAGGCGAGTTAATGAACTTTTGAAAACGTTGATATTTATAATATAATGAGTTTATGAAAGGATAATAAACGAGTTTTACTATTTAATATAATTTTACAATTCGAACTTTTTGTTAATAAAATTTAAATTAATATGACTGCATTAATGTGACGAGTTTAAATTCACTTTAGAGTCGTCGTCGTCCTCGTCCTCGTCATGTTATCTTTCGTAGCAAAAAATAGGCAATTCTGTGAGTAATAAATGTGTGTAATTTTCAATTTTCCTTTTCCCTATCTTTATTAATTTAATTATACATAGTTTTAATACACAAAACGAATCAAAAACTAAAATACCTTAATAAATTGTGTGTTGTGTAAAACAAAGTTGTTGCTATTGTTAAATGCATTGCGATGAAAATTATATTTAAAATTATATGTTATGCTGAATTTCATTTTTTTTTCTTTTTTTTTTTTTTTTTTTTTTTTTTTTTTTTTGTTTTTTGAACATTCCCGGACCATTGGGACGTAAGCACATTATGCTATTATATTCGTAAAATTAAAAAATTAATACGAAATAAAACGAGATAAATCGAGTATATTACAATAGTAAAATCAATGTTTACACGGGAGCAATTAAAGGAAGTCATTTTATTGATTGGAGAGGCCAATCATTGTTTTTAAAACAGCAGCAATCGTGAAAGTTTCACTTGACGCGCGCAAACATCAAACGATATTTTCTCAATTTTTCTCTTTAATCCATTTTCCAGTCGTTGTAATTTAAAGTCCTTATTTTGGTGGTTAGATGTCACTTTGTCCCTTTGAAACTTAATTAAATTACGGCGACAACGACGACTATCGCGGCTCCAAGCCACTATCGACATTTCGTATTTCCACCCCAGCTAATGCACACTGTGGCTCAAATTTTCACGAGGACAGTCACTGTCTTTCTGTGTGCGTCTGTGTGTGTGTGTGTGTGTTTGTGTGTACGTGTGTGTGTGTGTGTGTGTGTGTGTGTGTGTGTACGTGTGCGCGCGAGCGCGCGCGCGCGTTTTGACATGGTTAATACCGTTTCTTTGTACGTACGTACGTGATAATATGCATAGGCATACGTACACGCAAACACACACGAGCGCACACGCGCATGTATATTTAAAGGATTTTTGTTTTGTGCGAGCATTTTCGTCGAGTAATTTATAAAAATGATTATGTAAAATATATTTTCATAATATTCAATTGTTTTATTGGTCGTCGGTGTGTTTTAACATTGATAGATTTATTGCCATAAGAGATCATTGCAA